TATTTTCTTAATTACGCTTTACTTAATAATAGCATTCAGTCTCCATTTCCTGTTCCTCCTCCATTTTCGTTTTTTTTGCATTTATTACAATACTAGATTTCATCACTTTTGGGCAGGTGTCAATGATAATTCTGCATAGTAAACGTAATATTTTAAAACATTAATGCATTTGCGAATTATATTTTACCTCGAAAATGAGTCTAAGAAATTCTGTGCATCGATAATTAAGATACCACCATCATGAAATTGATGAAAAAAAAAAGAAGAACGAAATCTGGGACAGTCGGGAACGACGGAAGAACTAGGTTTACCGCTTTACTTAACTGTGTTTGAAATTTTCTTTACAAATGTTTTACACACCCAGGTATTTAGCCTGCATTTATCTTTTTTTATGTTTTCTACCTAATTCTGTCCTATTTGTAAATTTAAAAAGTCACGCGAGACAATGCTGGTTTCGCTTTCATTTCCTATAGCCTCGACCTCGTGCAAAGAAAAAGTATTGCGCAATCGTGTATAAGGTACAATAATTAAGCTGGGAAGTGTGCCAATGATAGGCCTGAATTAAAATGGAAGAAACAAAAACCTTTAACAAAAAAAGAGGTCGGTCATTTGGACCGACATCGATAGCATTTTTACCGGTCATAGGCATTTTTTGCCGGTCTTGCCGGCATGACCGGCAGTTTTCCACAGCTCTGTGGTTGACCGATTGGTACGATTTTCTGTGGTGATATTGATTAATGACCTACCTGCCGATTCTCTCTAGACCTTTTTCACTGTCTTCTCGTTTTGTTGAGTAAAACTTTCGCTTGGCATAATCTGGACTGTTAGATGGAGGGGTGTTCCATCTCTTATGGAACAAATTTGCCTACAAAATCATACATGATACTTCGTGTTAGTAAATTTGCCATATGAAATGTACATGTATGGAGATAACAAACAGTATTCATACACTAGAGTCAAAATAGGAGCAGAGCAAATATGGACCTCCAAAACATCAGAGGTGGGATCAGGTGCCAATGAGGAGTGAGCATCCCCTACCCACCAGTCACAACTGTTGTGTGCTCCTTGTTATGATTTGGAAATAACAGAAAAATCTGTCGACAATTCAGTGTGTATATAATAGCCTAACAATTAGTATGAACTAGAACTGTCCAAACGGGACAAAATACCCCCCGCTGGGTTTTTCAGAAGTAAGTTTTTCCATAATAAAGATATGTATCAAACACGAATTATGAAATTTTTATTTCAGTGACCTTGAACTTCCCCAAATAACCTTGGGTCAAGGTCATGACACACCCTTGGGTCATGGGCAATCTTTCAGTGAAATGAGAACCTACCAAGTTTATCCATAAGAAAGATATGGACAGGACTTGAATTATGAAATTTTTATTTCAGTGACCTTGAACTTCCCCAAATAACCTTGGGTCAAGGTCATGACACACCCTTGGGTCATGGGCAATCTTTCAGTGAAATGAGAACCTACCAAGTTTATCCATAAGAAAGATATGGACTGGACTTGAATTATGAAATTTTTCTTCCAGTGACCTTGAACTTCACCAGATGACCTTGGGTCAAGGTCATGACACACCCTTAGGTCATGGGCAATCTTTGTGTGAAATGAGAACCTACCAAGTTGATCGATAAGAAAGATATGGACCGGACACGAATTATGAAATTTTTCTACCAGTGACCTTGAACTTCCCAAAATGACCTTGGGTCGAGGTCATGACACACCCTTGGGTCATGGGCAATCTTTGTGTGAAATAAGAACCTACCAAGTTTATCCCTAAGAAAGATATGGACCGGACACGAATTATGATATTTTTCTTCCAGTGACCTTGAACTTCCCCAAATGACCTTGGGTCAAGGTCATGACACATCCTTGGGTCATGAGCAATCTTAATGTGGAGTAGTACATTCTAATGTCCCTCTGTAAGAAAGATATGGACCGGACATGATTGCACAGTCAGACTGACAGACGGACGGACAGCTAGACAGACGGACAGACGGACAAGGTGATTCCTATATACCCCCCCAAACTTCGTTTGCGGGGGGTATAAAAATGTCAGTCCGCATATCACTTATTGACTTAATGATAAATTGTATTCATGCTGACAAGGTCATTGTATTGACCATAGAACATACAAAATGATGATTTCAAACAAGAGTGCTGATATTCTTGTTTCAGCATCTTGTTTGTCAGTAACTTACCTCGTTTTAAAAATTGTTCATATGTAGAGTATGCTCTTGTGTGTTGAATCAACTGAGAGATATACATGTAAACCCCATATGCAGGTGATGAAGGTATATTGCTGCATAAGTAAGGGAAGTTGACGATAGAAAAGTTAAAGTCATCTTGTTTGTCGTAAAGCTTGGTTGTTAGATTACCATTAACGTCTTTTTCAAGTAAAATATCTAAATATGAAACAGATGTGTCAGACTCTGTGGTATCTTTTATAATATTAACTAGAACTGTCCAGTAGGGACAAATACCCCCGCTGTGTTTTTTCAGAGTAGGTGCCAATTCACAAATATTTTATGGATCTATTAAGAGGTGTTCACTATTGTCTTAAAACAAATCGGGTGAAAATATAATTGCATGCTCATTAATTTTTTTCAATTTATGAATCTAAGGTGCAACCAAATAAAACATCAATACTAATACACTGTAACATTTTTTTTTTTATTTCATTAAAAAAAGAAATTGCGATTATTTGTCATGCTACTCTGAAAAATAATTGTTGAAAAAAGAAATATTATACAGAATCAAATTAATATTCATAACTTTATATCAAATTCATTTTAAAAATAATAAAGTGCCCCACCACAGCATGATACTTCAGTCAAATATTGTTCATTCAATTAATATAAACAGTTTAGAGTGTGAGGAAATCATGGCAACCTTTAAAAGGATTTCCATAATTTTTTTTTTATTCCTTTTGATATGTGTTTAAACTTAATTATAACAAATAATCATCAAATGGTTGCATTTATGATAGCTTGACAAATGCTCACCCCCCACAAACAAACACATATGCATATATCTTTCATGTGGGACATGATGCTCTGAAATTTGTTACTTGATATTTTAATTTTGTTTTTTAAATATATCAATTTGACTAATTAGTATACTTAATCTATAACAAATTGATTTTAGAAATAGAAGGCTGACCATCAAATGACATATGCTATTTAAACTGACCAGCAGTTCCTCTGTCTAATTCCCAAAGGACCTTAATCAGAGATAACAGCTAACAGAAATAATTGAGACAGCTAGCTTTCCTACATTGAACTCATTAATTAATCTTTGACTGGATGCATGTCCACTGATAAATGCCAAGGGATGCAATTTTCTGTTATCAAAATTCTCCTTGACCAGTGCTTCATAATTATACCCTTAGGAGAGGTAGATTATCTCTTATAAAATAACATTTGATATGATTGCTGTAAAGTATATAATGAAAAAATATTATTTTCTTAATTTAACATTTTTTAAACAGGGATACAGAAACACTCTTACATTTTTGGGATTGTGTAATTCAATGGTAAAAGACAGGTTTCTTTTTAAAATTTCACTTAAATTAAATGTCACGGTGACCTTAAAATAGGTCATGACACACCTTCTACCCAAGATGCATCAACTGTCCAAGTTTGATGATTGTCAGTCTAATAGTTTTCTAGTTACGAGCCAAACAAAACCATAAAAGAAAAAAGAAAAAACACCTGTAAAATGCAGAAAAATTATCCAATCATGATGAAAATACCAGGGGCACAACTTCATATGGTGAATAATAAGTGTACAAATTTTCAGACAAATCCATCCAACAGTTTCTGAGAAACAGTCCGGACAAAATCTTGTCTACAGACAGACAGACAGACAGACGGACAGACAGACGGACATGCTGATTCCAATATACCCCCCTAAACTTCGTTTGCGGGGGTATAATAATAATTGCTCAACTGACATATATTTTTAAGTGCAAAGTGAGCATTTGGATATATTAAAAAAGTGTTTCAAAATTCACTTCAGAATTAGTTTCTTTCTCACAAAATTACAATACAGTCAATTCTCGAATTATCGCCATTCGATTCATCGCCATTTTCGCAATACCGCCATGATTTCCCAAGAACGTTTTTCCTGTTATATAAAATTCTCTTTATAACGCCAAATTCGCATACCGCCATCCGCCACCCTGTTTTCACAACAAACGTCCATTTTTAAGTGTCAATTATCTCGATATACCGCCACAGGTGCATGTGGTTAGTGAAGCGCGGCTAATTGGTTGACGGCTATCCCTGTTGTAAAGCATGCAAAGGCAGAAAAGGTACATGCAATTAAGTAATTAAACAAGAAATAAATAAACAATAATTTTAACATGAACTGTAACAGTTATAATTCTGTTTTCTGTTTAATAAATATCATTTAATCACAGCTTCGCCATGAAAGCGGTCGTTGTTAAAGTACGCCGATAACGATATTATTTTGATGATCTCTGTTTTAAACAATGCAAAGTTTGCTAAAAATATAGTTATACGGTATAAATTGTGAACATTTCATTAACAATGATGCCATAAACAATAAATTTATTTAAGAATTCATTTGTTTTATCGGCAATACATCACAACGACGACCCAGCATGGTTTTTTTCAGTACCAGACGTGCAGATTTACATGCATACACATGTACTTGTCTTTCATTCATAACTGCACATTTTTTTTAGCGAAATTGTACATTAAAAAAATAACTTGAAGTATTTTTAATCAGAAATATGTTTTTATATACATGTACATGTAATAATAAGAATAGAAACACTAAATGGTATTTCTAAGAATGGTAACTCTACTTCTTGTTTTCTAAAAGATGGGAAATCCGATTCATTGCCAAATTCGTTATACCGCCATGATTTCTAATTTACAAAAGGTGGCGGTTTATCGAGAATTAACTGTATTTTTATTTATCATGTAAAAATTTCCCTAGAATATACATATTTAAATTGTATGAACTTTGGTACATTTTAAAATTAGAAATATTGTATTCAAATGTTGTCTTGTACATTATCCAAAAAGTACAGTACATTAAAATTATGCCAGGTACCCTATTTAGTATTTTCCTATTTTCCCCTATAGGCTTAAATTGAGAATGTAATTGTGGTCAACCTTTGCTTAATGGCCAATGGGAGGAACCAAGTGAAAACAAATTACAGTTTGTATATGTAAATGAACAAACTGGCATCCTGTTCTTATTTCATTTACAAAATCAATCTGTTAAAGCTTTCTTGGAGAAGGGTTTGTAAATTTGTTTTCATAAACTGTAATCAATTTACCCATGGATCTTAAAATGAAGATTTGAAAAGAATTTGTGCAATGTATCAATAACCCAACAATTGAACATGCAAAAATTTCACAATTAACAAATGGTTAGATGAACAAAGTAACTAAAGCCGAATAAACTTCATCTTGGCTTCCATGAGCTATTACAGTTCACAGTCTGAGAGTAGGGTAGTACTTTATAAGTACCTTAGAAGGAGTCATGGGCCCAGCACAAGCCTTGACGGCCATCAGAGGATCCTTGGGACTCCATGACAGAGGGGGCAGATTGACCGTGCTTCGGGAATTTTCTGGTGACCACGGGATACCAATAAAGGGCTGAGAAGAGTTGTCTTCAGACCGCAGCAAGGGGACAAAAAACTGACCTGAAAACAGGAACTCCCTTTGTTATAAAAATAAAATAAATTGTCCAAAAAGAAAAAATTCCTATTCAAAATTTGTTTCCTCCAATTTCAAAATTGTTTAATATATATGTTTCAATAAAGTTTGCCAATTAGTAATATATTTTGCCTTTTAATATACTGTATTTACACTGATATTTTACTGGTAAATTTAAAAAATTAACATTCTACACTGTATACTGTAAACCAACTTTTATTCACGATGACTTTATTTCGTGATTAACCAGGGGTAAACTAGTTTGCGACAATTAATTTTCATGATCAAGCCTTTTTTGAATCTGTTGTTAATAGACACAGAGACTTTAAGGACCGGTTCGCGGCGAGAAATATTCGCGATTATGGGGCTCTCGCTATTACCTCACAAAAATTTCTCACACACGAATAAAAGTTTGTTTACAGTATTCATGATAATAATGCACATTGTTAATATGCTGCCAATCTAATTAAAATTAGATGTTCCGAATCCGCTATCGCTTCTCAAACGAGAAGCGATAGCGGATTCGGAACATCTAATTTTAATTAGATTGATATGCTGCCTACCTTCCATTAGCTCTTTAATTTCTTCTCTTTGAGCAGCAGTAGCCTTATCTACTCTACTGCATATAACCTGAAAATACACCAGTATTCTTTAAAAATTCTTTAACAATACATCCATTTCAAACATTATCAACAATTATTATTTTTTTCTTTAAGAACCATTGAGTCCATTCTTTATAAAAAATGGTAATATAGAATTGTACCTCATTGATCTGAAATAATATGGGTTGGGTAAGTACCAGTATACTAACATGAAACCTTTCAAACAAGTGCCTTAGATTATTTAGTAAAAACCTTTCTTCTGAAGTTTCTCCTGATTACAATACTGATAAATAAAGCACGGTACTAATTTCTGATTTATATTTCTGTTAATTAACCAATATTTGCAAATGATTAATCTCACCTCTCTTGGAGTTTCATTAAATTTATTTCTCACAGATTTGTCTATTTTGGGATGAGATATCAAGACTGCTACAACTTCCGCAAATCCATGTTTACAGGCAAAATGTAATGGGACTTCACAAGCCTGAAGAAACATTAACATGTTAATGCATGAATTCATCCTTATCACAGATGAGACGCTTCTTTATGATTACCAACTCTTAGTTTTTTTTCAGATGATGTTTCATTAATAACAGTCATAAATGTATACCGCTTTATCTGGAGTGTTGAGGTAAAGGTCTACAATAAAGTTAATTCTGTTGGTTCTTGTTCCCTCTGTTTCATTAGTATGGCCATACAACTTGTCAATAAAGCTGGGATCTTCTAACGTGTCCAAGAGAAGCTGACAAATTCCTGCTTGGTTGCTTCTGGCTGCTACATGCAATGCATTGTATCTAGGTCCTTCCTGTTATTATGAAATTATTTATTGAAAAATAAATACATGTATGCACACACAGCAGGGTTGCGTTTTACAAAAGGTCGTTAAGTCGTAGACTTGGTCGTAAGACCAGTCTTAGGAGTTGCGACCGTTTTACAAAGATTTGAGACTTGCAACTTACGACCAAAGTTGGTCGTAAGTCTACGACTGCTAAAGGGTTGTCGTAATTCGTACAAATTGTCGTAAGTCGTAGAAATTTTCGCTGTTGCTATAGTAAATTAAATCTTGAAAAAACATGGCGTCGTTACTTATCTTTAATGAATGTGAAGAAGAGGAAAATGTTTTGAGAAAACCACTGATGTTTCGAGATAGAACAAACCCGTTGGACTACCTGACAGACGGGGAAATCCGAGAGCGGTATAGGCTACCCCGTTTATACCTGCTGCAGCTGGTGGAGTTGGTGAGGGATGACATCGTCAAACCAACACGGCATAGTAAACCTCTTTCATCCACCATACAAGTAAAATACCTCCTGTAATCTTCACATCTCATCACATTTACAGTCAGCATGTACAAAACTTTTTAATTGTAAATGTCACTTCCTGTAACGCCATATTTAATTTTGGGGAGTGGATCAAGGATTCAAATTCTCCGAAGCAAGTGCCCGTTCATGACAAATCTTGATAATATTTTTTCTTTGTTGTTTTGAAGTGTTTTTATTTTCTTCCTTTATGATTTATTTAAAAAACCCCATAGCATTATCATCATAAAGCAACAAAGAAATAAAAGACACATACACGGGAACTGAAAACTCGTTAATTTCGCGAAAGTGTAACAGGAATTGTAGTATATTGTCATAAAATCGGCATTTGTTGCGGATGACTTAAATCCAGGAAAGTTAATATTTACTCTTACCTTTCTTTCACCTCCTCCCAAGCTTTGTTTTTCTTATCTACGGTAAGTATGGGTGTAAACTTCCCTCTTATGATGTTGACGCGGTCCGAAACCGCGTCGACGAGGGCGTTTATTTCTTGGTTGGACCAATTACTTCTCCGCGACATTTCAGAATATTGTCGTCTGCACGTCAACAGCGTCGGTTTTCACTCAGTATCTAAGGACAAATTTACCTCCAAACGTAAAAGATTTCCACTACGACTTGCGACGTCAATCTAGGACTTAGGACTTACGATTTAAAGATACGACACGCTTCATAAAACGGTCTTACGATTTGTCCTAAGTTTGGCAAAGTTTAGGACTTAGGACTTACAACTTGTGACCTTTTGTAAAACGCAGCCCAGAATAAAACAATCTATAATTTTAATATTTCCACATTTTTTTTTCTAACCTTGTGTTTACTCATTCAAGTTCATTTTTTATTCTATTGCATCTCTTGTTAATTATATCCATTTACACTACTACCAAAGAGACAGAGCCAGTGAAGAATGTCCATGGTATTGTAACTACTTGAAGATTAATCCTCATTATCCATATGCAGTACAGTTACTCCATAAGAGTGACTGATGCAATCTGGAGTGTGTGTATTTACCTGAAGAATAACAGGTGTGTCTCCTCCACTGACCAGAAATCGGGGGTTCTCCCACACCATTGATTCTACAGTAGTGATGTCACCGTCTTCTATGGCCTTTCTTAGTTTGCTTAGCTCTTGTGGCTTTGGACCTTTAAATGGACTGCTTTCCACTGAGACTCCAGTACTCAAAGTTGCAATTGCTCCATTTCCATTCTGTAATATACATTTCTCAGATTTATTACATGCAATTAAGACTTGGACAAAAATTTATCAATTCCAGAGACTGGCAGACTGACAAAGGGAAACTGATCCTTGATTTCTAATAATTAAGACTTTTAATAATTATTAGGTTTGTAATGTGATTGTGAATGTATGGTAAAATTTCTATATTTTGATAAGGACATAAGGTTGAATTTTTTTTGTTCTGAATTTATCGTAAAACATGCTTATTGTGAACATGCTTAAAATGAATCCACACATATAGGCTATATTAAGTTATAACAAAGTTATTTTCAAACCTTGTGGTCTTAAGCATCTTTTTAACTGAAAGTTATAACAAATTACATTTACAGTGAAACAAAATTGCTTATGACACCCTGAAACTTCATTATAAGGAAGTTTTACTTTTCTTCTTTTTTTCTTTAAATGTTGTTAAAAAAGAGTAATTACTTTCGTAGTCGGTTTCCATGGTGATGCAATGTCATCGGGAGACAACTTTGAAAACTTTTCTGCATCCTCTTTGCTTTTAAAACATTTAAACCTGGCTCCTGAAAATTTCTTTACAGACTGTAGCGCCAATTTTTTGTCAGTGAACACTAAACTTTGACCTGCAACATAAGAAAAGTAACATGATACATGTGATTCATCATCTTTAAATACTACTTATACAGGAACATTTTCACCCATTTTATTATTCCCCTTTCATCCTACGCAGCTAGAATAAGGCTGTCCGTAAAATATCAAACTGTTCAGACTGTAGTAACTTCTCTGAACTACCTAGATATGACGTCATAATAGAATATGACGTCAAGTCACTGCATACTTGAGCAGACATGACGGGGAAAGTGTCATAATTTGTACATGGCATGTAGATTTATTTTGGGACCTTGTTGTTTAATTCAAATGTTAGGATTGTTTTTAAGCTCCGATGTGTTATTATGAAGTTGAACATTTGAAATATAAATATTCTTATTTCTTTTGCTTGTCCGATATGCACATAATCAAACAATAGAGAATAACTATGTGTGAAATGCTCCCCTCACACGTCCGTAGACAGAGTTAGAATTTAAGAATCGTGTTTATATTGGACTGGCACAAGTGAAAGACAAGGATAAATTGAAGATATTCTGCGTGAATCAACAAGAGAAGTATGTACTCTAACTGAATTTTGCTGGGGGATTGTGTGTAGTTTATTCATTTTTGTATAAATTGCGATAAGGCGTGGATAATACCCCCTCTTATGTTGGTAAGTTGAATTTCTCGTAAAATATTTTCTTAACGAGTAAAAATTAAACCTGCCCCCAGCACTTTCTATGTACCAGGGATCACGATGAATCGATCTATGTAACAAACTTTGCACAATATTTTTGTTTTGCACTTGTGTCGAAGCGATTTTTGTGCAACATTTAGGAATGTCATAAATCTCTGTCACGTGATCAACACAGTCATGTGACATCACAAAAATACTTTATTATAATACCTAATTAAACTATCATCTCAAGTTGACTGCAATTTCAAACAAGAGTTACATATTGAAATTAAAATCTAGCTCAAAATAAAATGTATATTTTTAAGGCATTTAAGGCCTTTGGACAGCCTTATCATAACTGCGTACTCTTCGGTGGATGAACTCTTGAGGGGCCGGTAACACGTAGGCAATATATTGCGATAGTAAAATATCTTTATTTTACAACTAAGCTAGAGCTGGGAAGATGAAGTGCTTACACCATGAAAACAGGTAATGCTGTTTGTCTTTTATCTTATTTATTTAAATAAGAAAGTAATAAGAGTGTGCTCTAATAGTAGTTGCAGATCTGTAACGTTATGGTTTTATATATTTATCCTTGAGTGACCATGACGCTACAGATCCCGTAATGCAAAAAAGGTGCAATTTACCTCGCAATATTTTTTGCGCACTTTTGGGGAGAATATCTCCACTTTCTAGCATTGGTCAGTCAATTACCTTTCACTCCCTAATTCTAGACACATTCTGTAGCCAATATGTACCTATTTTATCCACCTCCCAACCATTTATAGTTGTCTCAACAGGCAATAAACTCGCTTGAAGTGAATATTCCAGCAATCTAAAAAACAACTTTAATCAAGGAAGTTTATCACTTGTAGAGATGACTATAAAGGGTTGGGAGATGGATAAAATATACAGATTAGTTAAATAATGTGCCTAGAATTAGGTTGTGAAATGTAGTTAATCGACAGATGCTGGAAAGTGGAGAAATTCTCCCCAAAAGTGTGCAAAAAATATTGCTGAATGCTCCGTAAATTGCACCTTTTTTGCATTACGGGATCTGTAGCATTATAGTCAAAGACAAATGTATAAAATCATAATGCTACAGATCTGTAACTACTCTATTAGCTGAAATATTTGCTCACATTCTTTTTCTTCCAGTGAGACTCCAAGAGGGGGGCATACTCCATAATACACTGACACCTCTGGTTCTGTAACAGGAGACTCTTCTTTTACTTGTCCAATCTCTGTATTCTGCTGACTAACCTGAGTATCGCCACTCGTTTGAGATACCTGGTTATCACCTGTATACCCATCTACTGCATCAGATACTGGATGTTGCTTTTCATAAAGTTTGCTTGCTAGTTTCTTTTGAAAAATTAATTTTGTGCTCGGTAGAATTGGACCAACGTTTACTCCATTATCCGATAACTGCTGTCTGAGATCATTAATACTCAGCTGTTTCACAGCTTCTAAAACCTGCTCCATGTTTTCAGAATCCTCATCCTCCGCCACTAGACAAACTATTTTAACTGCATTTCACTTCTAACGCGTTGTTTGATTGGATCGATGATTAATTATTCCTCCAATCAAAGACGACGTATAAAACAGGCACCTGTTGACTGGTTCTCCTACGTTAAAAAGAGACCAATTTACAGGAGAGTTCCGGTGGAAGACGAAACAGATGTACACAACAAAATAACTAAAGTTGGTGATTTTCCGATGATTAAACATTTGAAATTACAAGAAACAAAGCTAGAAACTCCCAAAGAACGTAACTTTATGCTTGTTAGCATAAGACAAGGTAAGATGAAGTTGTAAATTAAAAAAATGGACAGTGAAAAAGGGGGCAGCAGACGACAAATTCTGGGAACCACCCCCTGAGTATTTTAAAAGTGTGAATAATTTTATAAGTTTCACATGTACGGATAAAGTCAAGTATACGGCAATCTGTCACTTTGTTTTCAAGTATTTGATAAATGGAATTTGTTTTTTTTCCTTAGAAACATGAATAATTATGAACAGTTTGGAAGTCAAGATGAATCAAAATCGCCTCCAGAACTTGCTGTTACATCTGAGACTGCTGGGGGTCAGGATAATTCGGGAGATGTACAAATAAGAATGGATAACAATGCATCAAATGATGGAACTCTTCAAATTTACAAATCAGATGCCAAAGAAGATGTTGAATATGTGGAGGATCCAGGAGCAAAAGAGATTCCAAGAACAGGGATTGAGTAAGAGTCATTTAAAACTGTGGTTGTCAGACATATAGTGATTGCAATTTTATTGAAAATATTCAGGGAAATTTATGGGGGGGAGGCTGAGGGGGACATCCCTTAAGGCCTTTATCATCTACCTGTTCTTACAGGATGTTGGTTTTTCTTCATGTATGAAAATAATTTATTCTTAAATGAAATGTAGTCTATCATCAAATTAGAGATTATAAAGGATTTAAAAAATTTATCATTTCAAAATTATGGAGAAAATTTTTAAAAATATTGATTAAAATACTATGAAATTGATTTCTTTTTACATTCTGTTTTCTTAAATTTAGAGGATTGCAGTGGATTGTAAAAAGCATCCTGGAACACATAGTATTTAGACTCGTAACTGTAGTGCTGATTATCATGGACTTCATTTTTGTCATTGTGGAACTTGCAGACGATGACTGTTCAAAAAACCGACAGACTTTGGAACTTCTGTCACATGTGTTGATCAGCTATTTCATGCTGGAGGTTTTCTTTCGAATTTTCTATCAAGGGTATGATCCTTTTAATACTGTAAATGTTGTTTATTATTTTCATGAGGAGATTTTCATATGAAGTTGGAATTTTTTTTTTCTTGCTCATACTTATTTTTTGCAGAACAATTATATGTTTAAACAGAAATACTAGTAAATACTGGAAATAATAAGTATTTAAATGTTTGCTTCTTTAATTAATGTAATATTTACCACATAGAATCTGATTCAATTTTGTATTTGCTGCAAGCCAGGTACATACATGTAGCCATCTTGTGTATGGGAGCGCAGTGCTAAATAAAAAAACCTAATAACAGAATAAGTGTCATTGCCATTTTATTAAAGTTTGCAATAACCAGAATGGCTTTAAATTTATTTCAGTGAAACTTTGAAATATATATTGCATACAGGTGTTGATTAATATTCCTATAATCATTGTCAATTTTGTGAATAACCAATAATGCCCAATGAAAATTTTTAAAAAAAAATACAATGTGCATTAATTATGTTCATGTTTTTATCATGTTTATACACCATCCTTTTCAAATATTTATTATGCCAAATAAAAATATTTTGAAATTATATCTCTTTTAGGAAATTGTTGCTGACAGAATGCCGTGTGTTAGAGTTGGTGGACATAGGTGTGGTCACCATCTCTTTTATTGTGGATGTCACATTTTTAGTTATTGCAGAAGGAACTTCTTGTGCTAATAATTATGCTAAGTAAGTACTGACAGTATGTGTTACTGCATACAGTGTATTGTACAATATGTGTCATAAAACTATCATTCCAGTTGATCAGCAACATAAATTCATATTCATGCAATTCAAAATTTTCTTGTCATATAATTAAATTTCACTGATAATACTGCATACAGGTTCATTTGCACCCTGTGTTATTTTCACCCTTTTACATTTGCTAACAATTTTGCCCCATTTTAAATTCGCCCAGTCACAATTCTGTTTAAGAATTAATGGCGTGAACTTTGAATTCATCCCATTTTAAATTCGCGTTCTTGAGACAAGGCCGAAAGGGGCGAAAATAAAATGGGGGTGAAAATTTCCCTGTATACAGTATTATGCTATATCTTTGTCACTTAATAAAAAAAAGTTTTTTTAAATAAATTCATTTGTTAACTTATAGTTACACAGAATATACTCGATAAATGTAGAACGTATATCTATAATGAATTGTATACCATGAAATCATTTTTGATTTTTTATAAATTAAGAAACCATGAAGCATATCTTTGCAGTTGGAGTTAAAAAGTAAAGACATTGCTTTTATATAGGTTGTTGATTATTGGTCGTGTAGTAAGGATATTACGAATTGCCAGGATAATATTTTTAATGGTTCAGCAAAAGAGGCACATAGCCACAGCTTCCAGGAGAATTGTTTCACAAAACAAGCGGCGATACCAGAGAGATGGATTTGATTTGGATCTGTGCTATATTACTGGTTTGTTTTAAAATTTTAAAACATTTTACCTTGACAATTAAAGAGGAAATTTTGTTGAATGAATTATTATTGAAGGATAAGCATGAACTTATTTTTTTCTTTGCCTTCATGTTATTGGTTACATGTATCTTCCTGTTTAGAAAAATATGCTAATTGAAAATGTGCATTTGCATTTTTAAAAAGTTTCTATGTAAAACGTCCTGTTGACATGTATACATGTATTTGGCACAAAATGTTTAAAATGCAAGAAGCCCCTTAAGATTTCCACTCATTAATTGCAGAGCGAGTGATTGCTATGTCCTTCCCATCAAAGGGAATGATGGCCATGTATCGCAACAGTGTCCATGTAAGAAAAGCTTTCTTATCCTTAACAAAAATATATCATGATTTAACTAGCTAAATAATGTTTTTTTTATATTCTTATTAGCTCACCTGAGCCGAAGGCTCAAGTGAGCTTTTCTGATCAAAATTTGTCTGCTGTCTGTCGTCGTTGTTGTTGTCATTGTTGTTGTAAACTTTTCACATTTTCATCACCTTCTCAAGAACCACTGGGCCAATTTCAACCAAACTTGCTACAAAGTATCCTTGGGTGAAGGGAATTCAAGTTTCTTCAAATGAAGGGCCATGCCCTTTTCCAAGGGGAGATAATTATGAATTAGAGAAAAATTAATGAAATTTAAAAAAAAAAATTTTCTTCTCAAGAACCACTGGGCCAAGAAAGATTAAACTAACTCATGTGGAATTATCCTCAGGTAGAGTAAATTCAAATTTGTTCAAATCATGACCCCCGGGGGTTGGGCGGGGCCAAGATGGCCGATCACAGTTTTACATAGGAATATATATGAACAAGAGGCCCATGGGCCACATCGCTCACCTGAGAAGCTTTGACCATTCTGTTCTTTACCAGATTTCCCCCTTGTAATACATTATGTATCCCCACCCTACCCCACTGATCATAATTAAGACATTTTGAAATCAACTACCCCAGGATCCTTCCATGTGCAAATAAGTTTCTGCTTTTCTGGCCCAGTGGTTCTTGAGAAGAAGGTTTTCAAAGATTTTTCCTATAGATTTTTAGGTAAAACTTTGATCCCCCAATTGTGGCTCCACCCTTCCCCTGGGGGTCATGATTTGAACAATTTAAAATCTACATTACCCAAGAATGCTTCCACATAAGTTTCAACTTTTCTGGCCCGGTGGTTCTTGAGAAGAAGTTTTTCCAAGATTTTTCCAATATATTTCTATGTAAAACTTTGATTACCAATTGTGGCCCCACCCTTCCCCCGAGGGTCATGATTTAATTTAGAATCTACACTATACCAGGATGCTTCCACATAAGTTTCAGCGTTTCTGGCCCAGTGGTTCTTGAGAAGAAGATTTTCAAAGATTTTTCTTATATATTTCTATGTAAAACTTTGATTCCCCATTGTGGCCTCGCTCTTTCCCCGGGGGTCATGATTTGAACAATTTAAAATCTACACTACCCAAGAATGCTTCCATATAAGTTTCAACTTTTCTGGCCCAGTGGTTCTTGAGAAGAAGATTTTCCAAGATTTTTCCTATATATTTCTATGTAAAACTTTGATTCCCCATTGTGGCCCCACCCTTCCCCCGGGGGTCATGATTTTTACACTTTAGAATCTACACTATCCCAGGATACTTCCACATAAGTTTCAGCTTTTCTTGCCCAGTAGTTCTTGAGAAGAAGATTTTCCAAGATTTTTCCTATATATTTCTATGTAAAACTTTGATTCCCCATTGTGGCCCCGCCCTTCCCCCGGGGGTCATGATTTGAACAACTTAATATCTACACTACCCTAGGATGCTTTCACATAAGTTTCAGCTTTTCTGGCCCAGTAGTTCTTGAGAAGAAGATTTTCCAAGATTTTTCCTATATATTTCTATGTAAAACTTTGATTCCCCATTGTGGCCCCGCCCTTCCCCCGGGGGTCATGATTTGAACAATTTAATATCTACACTACCCTAGGATGCTTTCACATAAGTTTCAGCTTTTCTGGCCCAGTGGTTCTTGAGAAGATTTTTTAATGACCCCACCCTATTTTTGTCTTTTCTTGATTATCTCCCCTTGCGAGGGGATATGTCCCTTCATTTTAACAATTTATATTCCTCTTCACCCAAGAATGCTTTGTACCAAGTTTGGTCAAAATTGGCCCAGTGGTTCTTGAGAAGAAGTCGAAAATGTGAAAAGTTTACAGACGGACAGACAGCTGGACAGACAGACGGACGGACGGACGACGGACAAAATGTGATCAGAAAAGCTCACTTGAGCCTTCGGCTTTTTTTCCCAGTTTGTTCAAATCATGACCCCCGTGGGTAGGATGGGGCCAAAATGACCGATCAAATTTTTACATAGGAATATATAGGAAAAATCTTTAAAAATCTTCTTCTCAAGATCCATAGGAACAGGAAAGATGAAACTCATGTGGAAGCATCTTCAGGCAGTGTAAATTTAAATTTATTCAAATCATGACCCCTGGGGCTAGGATGGGGCCATAATGGCTGTTAAAAGTTTTACGTAGGAATATATAGGAAAAATCTTTAAAAATCTTCTTCTCAAGAACCACTGGGCAAGTAAAGATGAAACTCATGTGGAATCATCCTCAGGTAGTGTAGATTCAAATTTGTCCAAATCATGACCCCAGGGGATAGGGTGAGGCCAAAATGGCTGATCAAAGTTTTACAAAGGAATATATATAGGAAAAATCTTTAAAAATCTTTTTTTCAAGTACTTCAAAGCCATGATTAGTAATATTTATATGGAATAATCCTCAGGTAGTGTAGATTCTAGTTCGTTCAAATCATGATCCCCTTGGGGGTTAAAATTCAACCCCCCCCCCCCCCCCCCAACCTCAGTAAACTTTCAGTTCTGATTTGATATGTGCTTTTTCCTACCTGATGTGCTCAGGTGAGCGCTGTGGCCCCTGGGCCTCTTGTTGCTGATGATACAAGAATCTTTAAACTAGCTGGATAGACATGTACATATAGATTCTTTAATAGCTAGCCCTTTCAATTTATTTTTAACTTTCATTTTCAGGAAGTGGCAAGATTCTTTAATACCAAACACAAGGGTCACTACAGGATTTACAATCTATGTAGTAAGAGAAGATTGATATGTTTTAAATTTTGCATAAGACTATTTACCCATACATGTATGTTAATGTAGTTCTGTAATTAATTTACTGTTAAAGAATCGCCCTTGCTATTGGAGTATCATACATTATAGTACAATTTTGTATATATATGGTGTACAATAAAACTTTAAAAAATGACTGGGAATGTTTCTTTTATAGGCATAGGCATTTCAAAGTTGTTTTTTTTTTTTTAAATTCTCGTTTTAGTGATACATGTATAATTTTTTTATATTTTGTTTTACGTCTGTTTATCAAATGTGTTTTCTACCCCAGAATTATAATGAAATTCAATGTATATTATACCGGTAATACTTTTTTTAGGCGAGAGAGATTATGATGAAACCCTCTTTAATAATTGTGTGGAGAGAGTTTATATAGATGATCACAATGTCCCAAGGCTAAGGTAAGGTTAAAGATTTTATATTTCCAAGAGGAAAGCCCAACAAAATTTGCAGCTCATACTTCTTAACTTATCTGTCTGCCATTATCATTTTTAGCTCACCTGAGCTGAAAGCTCAAGTGAGTTTTTCTGATCAGTGATCACCCATTGTCCGTCATCTGCCTGACTGTCTGTCTAGCTGTCCATCTGTCTTTTAACTTTTCACATTTTCAACTTCTTCTCAAGAACCACAGGGCGAATTTTAGCCAAACTTAGTACAACGTATCCTTGGGTAATAGGTAGTTTAAACACTGCAAGAGCGCAGACACAAAGCAAAGGTCATCGTGCTTTATCGTATTGTTCACCATCTTATTGCAATACCAACGCAAAACTACCTTGTACCAAGGGGAGCTAACTTAACAACACGGGGCCATAACATCAGGTTCCTGCTCCCTTACTCCAGAATTCAGGGTCATCAGCAGTCCTTCTTTCCATCAGCAATTACACTATGGAACAACCTACCATCTACTGCTGTCAGCGCCTCTAGCCTAGAGAGCTTCAAGGACTGCGTTGGAGCAATTAGAATGACTTAGCTCTGACAGTTTTAATTGTAAATTTCGCCATAATGGTTTTTATAGACTGTAAACAGTTCATTGTTTCCCCAAGGGCAAGCGCAAAAAAAAATCACGACAATACACCAGAAGGTGGTTTGTGGTTATAAGGAAGAAGAAGAAGAAATTGTTAAAATGAAGGGCCAAGTCCCTTTCCGAGGGGAGATAATCAAGAAAAGTAAAAAAAAAAGTGGGGTCATTAAAAAATCTTCTTCTCAAGAACCACTGGGCCAGAAAAGCTGAAAGTTATTTGGAAGCATCCTGGGTATTGTAGATTCAAAATTGTAAAAATTATGACCCCTGAGTGTATGACAGGGCTACACTAGGGAATCCAAGTTTTACATAGAAATATATAGGAAAAATCTTTAAAAATCTTCTTCTCAAGAACCACTGAGCCAGAGAAGCTGAATCTTATGTGGAAGCATCCTGGGGTAGTGTTGATTCTAAATTGGTATTATCATGACCTGGGAGGGGGGTGGTGGTGGTAGGGGGCCACAATAGGTATTACAATTGGGGAATTCTGGTAAAGAATGGCATCACCAAATTACTCAGTTGAGCTATGTGGCCCATAGGCCTCTGGTTACTTTTTCATCCAATTGTGTTTATTTTTTAGAACTCTATGTTTTAATACATTAATGTTTAATCTTTTCAACAATACAATCACTGTCATCAATTGATAAACCTGAAAATTTAGTTAATTTACTTTTTGTGTGGGTGGCAGAGTTGGTAACAGGGTTGTGTATTAGGTAAAATATTCATATTAATAGTACATGTTTATTTGGTAAAGGTAGTTTTACATGTAGTACATTATATATTTTGAAAGTCTGCCTCATGAGGCATATCTAGAAGACTGTATAAAAGTACAGTTTTGATTTTGATGTTATACATACTAACTGATAAATAATGCAAGATACAAGTGTGTGAACAAAATTTTGTTTTCAGTAATTTTTTTCATACAGACATGATATCATATCTTTCTTGAAAACAGATGTGCCAAATTGCTAATTACAGGTATGCATGGTGATTGCTTTTGAGTGTGGAATTTTTTGCTTATGTTTCATTATTTATTGAAGAATTCTTCTCTTTGCACATATTTCTTTAACATTTGTTTAATGAAGCAGCACAATTTCAACAATTAACTGATCATTTATCAGTAAATATGTCCTCTTTAGTGTCAATCTGCTTTTAATATTAAAAACAGCTTTTAGACAACTTGTTCTCTTGATTGTTATCAACTGTAGAGGAAAGAATCTCTTAACTTAACATTAATTTATCTAGGTCTTTTAAATCTTGGGATTTTTAACCTTTACTAGTAATATTCCTTATTTTATTTAATCTAGATACTTATAATTATCTCTGTGTTGTTTAGTACAATTACAGTTACATGTACCTGTTTTTCTTAATGTTTGTAACATATCATAAATCTGGAAATTTTTACGTCGATTTTATTTTGCGAATTCGGGTCAAAATGCTGTTGATTAATTTTTATGTTTCAAAATTTTGCGAATGACCACTGCTTTGTTTACATTTTCTTATTGGTGATTTATTTTTAAGAAAAATATTTTTGCGAATGTAATGGACTCGCAAATTTGCTAAAAATTTATCTACAGCAAAAATTTCCAGATTTACGGTATTTTCTTTTTCATTTTATTGGCATTTATTTGCATTGAACATGTACAGGTGTATCTAGTTATACATAATTTTTGAAAATGATCAAAAAGATATATTATAAATAAAACTCTGTTCAGAAAAATGAGTGCATGGTTTGAAGATGTTGAATTTCTAGGAATAATGCTTCCACAATGCATTGTGTCAGACTATATTTAAATAAAGTGATAGAGATGTGTACAATTTTTAGATTATAATTTTAGCCTAAAAATGAAAATTAACTATGATTTATGTACCATTGATGTATGTACCATTTACTTTTACATGTATCAGTATCTATAAAAAACATTGAGCTGCTCCACTAGTGGGTCTTTTATTGCATTTGTAGATTGTAGAAATTTATATGGAAAAAATCTTCCTATTATTAACAAGACCTCTATTTGTGAATTATTTTATAAATAAAAAAGCATTTGCATTCTGATGTACAATTGATTCAACATTCTTAAAAAATACTAATACATCTTATACATGTGCATATAGGTATTGACATAGTGTTCAGTTTACAATATGTAAGGGAAAAATGTAAGATTTCTTAGTGATTCCTTCTACTTATGAGCTGTAAGATCTAATGTAACTTAATCAAACAAACATGTATTTAATATCGTAATTTTATTTCTTGCCATAAAATTGATTACTTATCCTTGTTTGGGATGACAGGGAGATGGTAGCTTTTTGTGCCAATGTAGAGGAATGGATGGAGCAAGATAAACGGAATGTTATTGCTATACATTGTAAAGGGGGCAAAGGACGTACAGGCACAATGATCTGTACATGGCTGGTACACTGTGGAATATTTGATGAAGCTCAGGTGAGTGATTATTAAAGAAGAAGGATTTTTATTGGCAAAACAAGTTAGTTTTAATAGTTATGGAAATTTAAGAATAGGGTTATTTATTTTTCATATATTTACTACATGATATTTTACGTAAAAACAACAATATTTAACCAACTTGCATAGTGGTACATGTTCAGTATGCCTTTGCATCAATGTTGGAGGGTATAGTTACACACTTTTGAGGTTGTTTGTTTGGGTGGGTTAGTGCAGTTTGTGCAGATTGGAATTTTTTTGTTTGTTTGATGTGCTTTGCACAGGGAAGCTCTTCTTCACAATGCCATGATTGTTATACCATATTAGTTTGAAATATAAAGGCTACATTGTCATTTCCATGCTTTCAAATGGATGCAGCTTACATGTAGTTATTGCAGTCACTGTGGGAAAAAAATGAGGTTATACAGTATTAAATTTGATTTTTACTTTGCAAATATCAATGTCTTGTATGTTAAATAAATAAATCTCTTAAATTTACAGGAGAGTTTAGACTACTTTGGAGACAGAAGAACTGATCTTTCTGTGGGTAAAACATTTCAGGGCGTGGAAACACCAAGTCAGGTATTTATATTCAAAATTTTTCACAATTTCAAAAAGAAAAGAAGCATATTTATACCAATTTTAAATGACTTTCTTCCATTTTAGTGGAAAAGATTGTTGCAGCTCATCTCCTGAACTGTTATAAAAATTTGTGTATGAAATGTCTTCTGAACTAAATGTCAAGTTTTGTATTGATTTTGATCTGGATAAAAAATGATATATTTTCAGAGCAGATATGTAGGATATTTTGAGAAAGTAAAAAAAGAATTGGGAGGACAAGTACCACCAGAGAAAAAGAAACGAATTACATCAGTCAAAATAGAAGGATTAGAAGGTCTGAGTTTAGCCAAAATCTATATATTTCATCTGAGTCTCATACATGTATATATTCCTGCTGTATAACCAGAGGACAGACAGATGGAACAGCAGATGAGTGGAAAAACCACTGTATCTGATTTCTTCATTGAGGCTTATCATTAAGTACTCGTGGAATTTTATGTACACAATATTGAATTCTCAAATAAAATGCACAATACTTCTAAAGTAATCATACATCAAACAAAATATTTTTGCATACCATACACATAAAACATAGTCACATAGTTACATATATAGTCAGCTTTATAAGTGCTAATGTGTTTAAAAAACAAAGAAAAACCAAGTGGGACAGACAGACAGATGTTGAGGAAACCTATAGCCCTCTTTGATTTCACCATTATTGGACTAATCGAATAAATGTTGATAGCAATGAAGACTAACATAGAACTGTTCATTTTCAGGTGTGGGAAATGGAGATGGGAGTGACCTCTCCATGGAGATCAGAGTGGATGGATTACTGATCTATGAATGCAGATTTGGAGACAACATGAACTGCCAGGTCTGACATAAGGGTGTATAAACAGAAAGTGTAGCAATCAAAATTTACAAATTAAGACATGTTAGTAATAATGGAGAGAAATCACAATGGAATTATTTATTGTAAGAACTGTTTATATATTGAGTATGATACTCCTTTTCAGGTGACAAAATACACAGATACACACAGTGTGGTGGCTAATTTAGAGAACAGTCCTGTTATTGTGGATGATGTGAAAATAAGATTTTTCTCCACAAGTGTGAGTTAACTTTTTTAGGTCACCTGAGTAAACTCAGGTGACCTATTGCTGTCTGTTTGCGTCCGTCGTCGTCCGTTAACATTTGAACATTTTCAGCTTCTTCTCTGCAACCACTGAACCAATTTCAACCAAATTTAGCACAAAGCATCTATGGGTGAAGGGGAACAAAAATTGTGAATTTCATGATCCCTGCCCCCCTGGGGCCTGAGGGGTGGGGCCAAAACCACTAAAATTAATGCAATCTTTAAAAATCTTCTTCTTTACTCCTGGACATCAAGCAGTCAAACTGTTTGCATGATTGTAATCAGCAATGAGTCTTCTACCAAAATTGTGAAATTCATGGCCCTGGGGTCAGGGGTTCTAGTGCTAGGGCGGGGCTGAATAAGTAGGTAGTGAAAATGCATTATTTCTTTGAAAATCTTCTTCTCTGCTCCTGGGTATCAAATAAACCAACTAAGTACATAGTTATAATGAGCAAGAGTGCCTCTACCAAAATTGTGAATTTTATGGCTCCAGGGTCAGGGGTTCTGGTGTTAGGGCGGGGCACTATTGATTACATAGTGAAAATACATTAATTCTTTGAAAATCTTCTTCTCTGCTCCTGGGTATTAAATAAACTGACTAAGTACATAGTTATGATGGGCAAGAGTGCCTCTACCAAAATTGTGAATTTTATGGCCCCAGGGTCAGGGGTTCTTGTTTTAGGGTGGGGCTCTTATGATTATATAGTGAAATGCATGAATTCGTTGAACATCTTATCCTTTCCTCCTGGTTAATATACTAATGATCTAATTACATATTTAAGGCCAGGATTTATTTTATTTTCAGTTTTACAAACCCTCCGCTCAAGGTTTTGAATTTTCAGAAAAAAATAAAACAATTTTTTTTTCTTTCCGATGTCAAATTTGAGTCGGGATCGAGATTTCAAATTTACGAACGCACTTCCGGTTTTAAGATGAAACGGCGGGTAAATAAAGCTAGATCTGAGAAGAAAGCTTGGTTTAGTGTAAAATTCATCGATACGAGTGCCATTCAAAACGTTTCACTCGTTAAAAGGACAAATAAAATGCTGACGACTTTGTTGCACAATGACATGCTGGTGAGATAATTTTGTTTTCGTTTCAAAAGTATCTGTCTGCATGTAAATTATTTTCCTCCCCCAGGTTTTAAACTGCCCGTGGTAGCTATTGCATATTGCCAGGGACATTGTTTAGGTCTCTGTTATAGCTTACAGTCTAAGCATCATTCTTCAGAAAAGGGTTGCTTATGCATCAGATGTAATGAATAAAACTATGGGAGAAGTTAAGTCCATTTGAGGAAGAAATAAACAATAACCCGAGGAAATAAAAAAAAAAAATCAACTATTAAAAGGCAAGAATATACAAATATATACAGGCATGTAGTATCATTTGTATCAGCCAGAAAAATTATTTTACACTTAATTGAAAAAATGTTCACAATACTCCCTGTCTGTTTTATGATAGGAATTATAATTTTAGGCATCAAGTAAATTTTAGAACAATGTCTACACATTCACCTATTTAAAAAATGAAGATATATTGAAAGACTTTTAAAGAATTGATTTTTTAAAATATATTTTGACCAACATCACAAAATTTATATAACTGGCCCAAACTGGCAGATGGTGAAATAAGCAATTAAATGTTCTACTTTCCTATTTGTTTTAAAGCATTATGTGTCCAGTGGTAAGGAGCCTATTTGAATAGCATAAAAAAGAATGTACAAATGTTAATAATTGATTTATCAAAAAAAAATTTTTATTTCCTTCTCCTTCGGGAATTTTTTATTCTCACATTCATATCTAAACCTAAACATAAAAAAAAAAATGCTGGCCTTATAATGAAGAAAGGGGCCTCTTTCAAAATAGATAATTTCAGGGCCGCTGGGTCAGGGGTACCAGGGGGGTACTTTGACTAAAAATAAATTAATGCTTTGAAATCTGCCCTTTGATAAGCAATGGTGCCTCCTTCAAATTTGTGAATTTCATGGCTTTTGGATTAAAACACGAACCAAATACAATCGCTGGAAAGTTGTTACATGATACTCAGGTGACCTATAAGGCCCGTGGGCCTCTTGTTATTTTTAATTTTTTTTCTCTCTTTTTTTTTCATCAGTAAAAATACTGTGCACCTTCAAAATGATTTGTTAAGTGCCTTTTAAGTTTTGATTAAGCAATACTAGTTCTATAAAACCAAAAGTCAGCTCGTAATCTGCGAAAGTGAAAGTTTTATATATTTTTTACCAGCACCATAAAGTAAAATAAATATTTTTTTTTACAGAAAAACATTCCCCAGGTTTATGATCATTGTGCCTTCTTCTTCTGGTTTCACACGTACTTCATTGAGGACAATAGGTAAGTACAGTGTTAAACATGACAGACATCAATGCAGCAGTGGTCTCTGTGGAAATTTTTTTACTCAATATGGCATTGTTTTAAAACTAAAAATAGCAGTATACAAGCATTCTGAAAGCATTGCACAAGGAGGAATACTAGTCTCCTACTGGCAGTTGAAATGCATTCTCTTTAAAAATTAAAAACAGCATAATTCTATCATAAATCATTAAAGAGATATGAAATGCAAACTAACTTTAACTCAAGGTAGTTTCATAGTAAAATTCAGTTTAATATCTTAAAAGGTAAAAGGAAAACTTATGAAAAACCAAGTAGAAAATTTGATTTCCCTTAAAAATTGAAAAGGCTGTAATTCTGTTAAAAAATCATTGAAGTGGAATGATATGCAAACTTGATCTATAACTCATAAAGTACACCCCTTTTC